GCTGTTCCCGTGCCCGGCCTGCCAGAAGCGGTTCCGTCGCCAGGCGTACCTGAGGAAACACCTGGCGAGCCACCAGCAAGACGCCGCCGCCACAGCGATGCTGCACCAGGTGGTGGTGCCGGCCGCCAACTGACACCCGCTCCTCCTGGCCGCCCCCTGGCCGCCGCCGCCCCCCTTCTGGCGCCTCGACCTGCTCTAGAGGTGAGCAGTGAGTCTAGTCAAGTGTACAAACGAATCTAGTCCCCTCTGCTGTCCTGTAAATACGTTTTATTATCAACTTCATAGTTTATGTCGAGTTTAATAGTTTAGCGACAGAACGTGGCGAGCTGCTGGTCTCTGGACTGAATGTGCGCGAGGCTTCGGACCTCTGACACGCGTCGCGTCTCGAGACGCGAAGATTTGCGACAGAAACTGCTTTCGCCTCGCGTTGGAGGTGATTGCATAAGACGGAGTACTTCAGCGCGTCTTATCGACACAAGACGTTTTCAGCAGGGCAGTCGCTCGAAATTGACTCCAGGGACCCCAGAGACATCAGAGCGTCTCAGCTCTCAAACAAACAAACAAAGTGGCACCTCGGTCTTGCAAGTAGGTGTTGGCTGTTTCGTAAAACTTCACCGTGTAAGCTCTTGAGTCTTGTCGAGAAGAAATCACATTTGTGTGGGTGTGAAACTTGGTCTCTCGAGGGCTCTGTGGGGTCCGTAAGAACGAAGACGCCGCGATCTCCGCTCTTCGCCCAACAGCAGTAAAAGATTACGAAGTGGGCGAGACTCGTAACAGCATTTCAGTCGAGAACCTGGAGGACGCAGACTACCGGGAAGACCAAAGCGTAGATGGTAGGGCCTCGAAATTGCTCTTGAGGAAACGGAGTCGGAGGATGGGGATTGAAATCGGAGATAAGTAATGTCGGGGAGCAACGGTCAGCATCTTCAGGAGTTGCTGAAGACTAGAGTAGGTAGCACGTTTCAGCCCGGAAAACGACTGTCTTCACCGAGAGTTTTCTCAGCCCCCCGGGGACAACACCTGCCTTAAATTAGGCAACCAGCCTTGCAACAAACTGTCGATCGATCATCTTATCATTCGACGCCTTGCATCCAGTCTGAGCTGCTGACAGCCTCAGATAAAACAAAACGGACGGTGTGGTTGTCGTATCGTAACTTAAGTCTGTTTTGCACGTGGTCCCGCAAGTCTTCAACAGACAGACGAATTCTGCAAAAGCGTCCCAAGGTCTTTCGCATTTCGAAGCCCGGGCCCTGTCCATCCGTCAGTCAGCCTCGGGCTCCGTAGGGTTTCTGTGTTCGCGGTGTTTTTTTTTTTTTGTTTTTTTTTGTAAAATGAGTTCTCGACGGATTTGTCACGCAAAGTGAACCAATTTTGTAACAAGTAGAGAGGAAACCGAGGGGCGCCTCACGCGAGCGGCCCACCTGTTGAGACGGTGAACCACGCGCGCTGGTTTCGAACTAGGTCCGCTGCAGACCAGCAGCTCCTCCCGCCCCCCGCGCGTAGCGCCAGGCGCTA